GAGAGGCGCGGGCGGCGGTGGCGGCGGCAGCTGCAGGAGCAGCAGCGGAGGATACCCAGTGCCCTGCGCCCCCGAGGAGGCCGACTGCGCCACCCACACTTCCTGCACGGCCGGGCGGGACCCGCGCCATCAGCCCGGAACCCTGCGGGTCCACGGTGACCAAACCTCACCGATAGCCGCCGCCGCGACTACTCCGGACTGGTCCGCAGAGTTTGCCGGCTGGGAGGGAGGCCAAGCGGTGGCGCGCGCACTAGCTCTTCTCCCAGCTATTTCGTGGATGTCGCCCTGAGGTCGTGAGAGAACTCCGCAGTGGGCTGGAGCGCCCTTTGCGGAGGGACAAACGAAGGGAAGGAAAGAAAGATGACCGAGGAAGGGGCTTGGAAGAACGGTCAGAAGCCGCCGTGCGGAGCGAGTGCGAGCGGAGCGAGTGCGAGCAGAGCGAGGCGCCCGGATGCGCCTCGGGCTCGAGGAGCGGCGGACCGCTGCGGGGCTGCCTTCCGCAGAGTAGCCCGGTCCGTCCAGGAGGGTTTGTGCAACCGAGGAGAACACCGAGTGCCGGTCGCACGGGGCGTGCCAAGCCGCTTCCCGGAGCGCCTCCCGCACTTTCCCCCTCTTGGCGTCATCCCGTGCTCCCCGGACCGGGCTGAGCCTTAGAAGCGTGGGGTGCGGAGCCTTTCGCCGCGGCCCGGATATCGTTCCCCACCGCCTCTCGGCTGTCCGCGAGCGCTTGGCTGAAGGCGCTGCCGGCGCTCCGTCACTGTCGTCACTGGGTTTGTTTGTGTGGGATTAGCCGGGTGCGCCACCTGCACTAAACCCGCCGTTGCCGCCGCCCCGGGGAAAATCCAGAGAGGAGGCGGATCGGGAGAAAAGCAAAGAAAAGCCACCCGCCTGGATTTGTTTGCCCGGGCCGCGGGCCGCGCGCTCGGATCACCGAGGGGAGAGTGGCCGGAATCACCGCGCCCCTACCTCCCCGCCCCAGCGGCCGAGGCCTGCAGGTGGGTGAAGCTCAGCTCCTGCACCAACTTTCCAGACACAGGTGACACTGCCCAGATTCTTGAAGCAGCCGGGGCGCCCTGAGTTTTCCGCTTCTGCTTGGCTTCCGGTTTAATTTTTCGAGGCGGGATTAAAGTTGAATATTAAGCGGAGAATTCAGTTGCCAGGGAACAGAGCCGTGGCCACCACCAGAGTAATATTCCCACCGGGCTGACATCCAATTTAGACGCGGCCCGTCGGGGCAAGGGGGATGTGGGGGCAAGATTGTAGTTGGGTGAGGCTCTGCTGCTTTGCTGTAGGGAGATTGGTAGTAGCTGCACCTGGTGAACTCCTAGTCCCCACGAATGTGAGGCTAAGAACGTCCTAGCCCCCTCATCCCAACCTGGGAACTGGGTTGAAACTCAGTTAACCCCACATACCTTACCTCTCTGTCCCTCCCACTTGCCTAGACTGGGCTGAGGGGGGCGCCCAGGGATGCTGGGACTGCTACATCCCCCTACCACTCTAGTTATGGAGTTAAAACGCAACGAAGTTATTTTATTCCCTCGGTCCCTGGGTCTTTATTACTCTGTGGGAGAGGAGGACAGGGACAAGGACAACAATCTGACTAGTTCCTCCCCAATCGTTGTTACTGCAGCCACCAGTCTAGAAGGCTGGAAATGGCTGGGAGCCTCTTTAGAAACGGATTCCCAGGAAAAGTCATC